GGACTCTCGTCCCCGAAGCAAATACAGGAGCAAGCCTCCTGCAAGGGTAAGGCCCTGGGGACAGAGTTCAAGGACTCTCGTCCCCGAAGCAAATACAGGAGCAAGCCTCCTGCAAGGGTAAGGCCCTGGGGACAGAGTTCAAGGACTCTCGTCCCCGAAGCAAATACAGGAGCAAGCCTCCTGCAAGGGTAAGGCCCTGGGGACAAAGTACAAGGACTCCAGTCCCCGAAGCAGACACAAGATCTTGCCTCCAGAATGGGCAAGCATGCCCCGAAGACAGTTCAAAAATACTTGTGATTTATTGTACACAAAGAAGGAAAGAAAAGCAAAATATTGTACACAGAGAAAGGAAAGAACTCGTTTCATTTCAAGAAAAAGGGGCTTTGCGTCCCCAAAGGCTACAAAAGAAAAGCAAAAGAGATACAATCAAAAAGAAAGACTTTCATCCGGCTCCAGGCGCTTTCATCTGGCTCCAGGCATCTCCAGAACATCAGCCGAGGGCGAGTCGGCAAAGAATGACTGAGAAGCTTCTGGAGCAGGCAGGACAGGTACCTCGGCAACAGGAAGACTTTGGGCATTTTGAGGATCAAGGGCATGGTCCGACGGGGCGTCCTCGGACAGATCCACTATCACCGGCTCGGGCGGATCCACCGGGACTTGCACTGGTGTTGGAACCTCATCCTCGGCAGCGACCTCTGCTTCGGCCCGTGCCATCTCTGCCGAGGGCACATACTCGTGCATTCGGAAGAGCGGGGAGTCTGAGGGGATCCCAGCAGACTGGAGCGCCTCGTCCCACCCTTTCTTGAAGAATTCCTTACTATTTTCTTCAAGAGCAGGAAGCACATCATCGGCAAACTCCTCCCGAAGTTGCTCCTCCGATTTTCTGTTCAGCTCCTCGGCCCTGATCCTGTCCAGCTCCTGGGTAAGGGCCAGACAGCTTTCCTCTGAGCCCACGGCCCTCTCCTCCGCAGCAGAAAGCCGCTGCGTTTGCTCGGTAATCCTCCTCTCAGCATCGGCAAGGGCGGCACTTAGTTTTTCAGCGCCAACCTTGGCCGATTCGGCGTCCTTGAGGAGTTGCTCGATTTGAGCAGCCTGCCCCTCCAGGGTAGAATCCCTGGCAGCAACATCTTCCATTGCCCGAGCGAGGGCCGCTTCCGCCTCCTCCTTCTGATCCCGGGCCCTCTGGAGGTCCATCCTAGACCCGTGGTACCGAGCAGCTATGATGGAGATCTGCTGGGTAGCCTGCAAAGGAAGGAAAAAGTGTTAATCACAAAATGGAAAGCAAGAGTGAAGGAACCAAAGCAAAAATAAACTCACCACCAGGGAATTCTGGATGATGGAGCGGAACAACACGTTGGTTGATCGCCCCCTATGAGCCGCCATGTCGGCCTCAAAATGCAGTGTCTCACTCACTGCATGGGCGACATGAGGATCCAGCAGAATGGAATCGTCGACCCTGATCACTCGGTTCATGTGATCAGTGGCTCGGGGATTCCACTCCGCGGCCTCCACTGTAGGCGGAAGGGGAGGAGGAGTCTGCTGCTGTTGTTGTTGCTGTTGTCGGGGCTGCTGCTGTTGTGGGGGAGCAGGGGGTAATCCACGGCCCCTCCCGCTTTGCTGCTGAGCGGGAGGTGCCCTGGGTCCTCGGCTAAGGCCATCATGCCGATGCTTGACCCTTCTCTCCTCCTCCACCTGAGGATCCCGGTCTCGCACCTGACCCCGACCGAGAACCCTCGAAGATGGGGTGGAACTGGTCCCCGCAGAAGTGCCATCGGTCGTTCCTCGACCTCTCCCGGCTGCGAGGGCTTGCCTCTGCCTAAGAAACCCCAAATCGATGCGAGGGGCGTTAGACATCGCTGCCTCGAGAGCGTCTTCGGCGTCTAAGGATTGAAGGATTTGGAAGTCTGGCCACAAGTCTCCCCCGGAAGTCCCCACCTCGGCGTCTGAAGGAACAGCGTCCTCTCTGACCCCGAGCTCTTCAGCAACTCCCTCGACCTCTGCCTCTGAAGCCCGATCCGGGTCTTCCTCCAAATTTTCCTCAACCTCTAGCCTCGCCGCCTGATCGAAGAGTTCAGACCACTGCGAAGGCTCAAAAGGTTGCGGAAGCTGTGAAAACTTCTTATACCCGGGGGTATAGTTCAGCAGGATATGAGCAGCACGGCCAAACCCGTTGTCACCCGTGAACCTCCAAACCGTGATTAGGTCGGCAAAGTTCACCAGCGACCGAGGGGAGGAGCTGTTTCCCGAGCAGGAATATCTGCACAAACAAAAAAGTTGTCATGAACATGGGAAGTCCCGAGAAACAAATAAGAAACCCAAAGGAACCGACGTACTTGTCGTTCTCCATTCCAGAGGGCATAATAAGTCATTGTACTCGGGACCAACACCTCTCTGCCAAGATCCCTTGAAGATTAGGATATCGTCCTTGTACCCCTTGTCCGAGTCAGGAAGATGGGTTACAAGGTACATGGAAGGGTCCCTGGCTTTGAGGTAGAAGTGTTGGTGAGGCATGACTCTAAGGAGGGAATAACAGAAAAGGAGATCATTGAGCCCAATATTCACCCCGAGGTGCCTATTGAGCTCTAAGACCCCCATGATTATTCGGAAGACATTAAGGCAGCATTGCCCAGGGAAGAGGCGAAAACGAGAGAGGAACTGAAGAAGCAGGGGGGTAAAGGAAACCTAATTCCACCCTCTATGATGGCCTTGGTATAGAAAGGCATGGCATCCTCGGCCCCGAGGGTAGATGAGTGCACCAATGGGTCAAAATCCTCTACGTCTACACACGGAGGAATGCCGTACTTGGCCCTAAACCTATCGATCTGCCCCACGCCTTTCACCTTATATTTCCCTGACCCCGAAGGACCAGCCTGAGGATTCTCGGGAGCAGGGCGACGACGAGGCATCTCTAAAAAGAAAGAAAAGGGTATATGTTCTTGAAAATCCCTGAGGAAGTTTCCCGAGGGTTTAAATCACAACGTATCGACCGGATGACACCTCCAGTCAATCGGAAAACAAAAGGCTAGGAGGACAAAAAGAAAGAGGGTTCTGAAACTCACTCGAACGTCAAAATGGAGTTTTTCTGGAAAAACCTTAAAACAACTCCCTCAGAGAGTTCAGAAATCAACAATGAGTCTGCTGGCTTTAAGATTTTGAGAGAATGGGCAGTCGAAGATGGCAGATGAAACAACACTCCGGCGAAAATTCGAGAAGACGTACTCTGGAGAAAGTTTGAAATGGCAAAACGAAGGAAACCGGAGAGGAACCCCCTTTATATAGGGGCAAATTTCATCATTGGGCGGAAAAACCGAAACAGCGCATTTAATGCGCACGACATCCCAAGCCGGGGAAAGCGGCTCGAGGCCATGATGAAGGACGGGTGATAGTTGGGAAACCCTTCGTCTCCTTACAACGCGTGTCCTCGGTGTCAGAAGATCGAAGGCTGGGGGGCAGTTGATGGGACTTTTCTGAAATATCCTATGATGAAGACACGTGTCCTCGGTTTTGCTAAAACACTGTTGCTTGGATCAAGCACCATCGGCAAACGAATGTCCTCGCCCCCGAGGTAACCTCATATAGGGTCATGCATTCAGTATATTTTACAACCAACACGTGTCCTCGGTCACCTATGTCCCTCGGTCGCATACCTCCCTCGGTCCCCGAGATGAGCCTTTCCTCGGTGCCGAGAGTTACTCCGTCCTGGACGCTTCCTCTACTCCATGATAAGCTTTTGACGTGCAGGACACTAGCCTAGTCTAGGCTATTCATCATGACCTCGTCTTACACAAGTAATGTCAGAACATACTGAAATACAGAAGTCACAGCCAATAGGGGATGGACGCGTGGCAAATAATGTCATATCAAAGACAGACAAACCGCATGTCGTTGCTGACACGCGGCTTGGAAAGCAAATAATTAATTGCACCCTTCCGTTGATGAGACCGCATTCAATGCGGTAAGGCTCGGAAATGAAAGGCAATAAATGCTCCTATTACAGAGCATTTATTGCATCCTCCCCGAGAGGAGCATATTGTACCGTCGGCATCCCGACGACTCAGCATCGATTGCTCGGGACCCCGAGCAGTTAATTAGAGAAGACATTCCTCATCAGAATCAATGCACACGCTACCTGTGCCTAATGATCACCTACTGACCACACTGACAGCAATCATGAGCTTTTAAGGTATAAATACTCCTTGCAAAAGGCAGAGCAGGGATGCAACAACAAACTCTCTACTACAATGCATTTTTCTCAGTGTTTTCTCCTTCCTCTCTCTCACTCAAAGACTGACTAGACCGTCGGAGGGGATACGCCGAAAAACACTCCGGCGCCCTTCTAACTTGTTCTTCTTTGTTCCAGGGACACCTTTCATCCTCACAGGATCGTACTTCCTTTCCCAGGATCTCCCGTTGCCGTTCCGGGTTACTACCGTACCTTGCAGGCTGTTCCAAGCAGCGTGCTTGTTCACTCAACCGACCCACTCGAAGTTCACCAAGGGAGAGATCTGTTCCCGTTTTTTAAATTGTGCAGGATCTTGCACGCACACATTACACCCAAAATTTTAGTTTGCCCAGCACCATTTTAGCTTCTCTTAAAGATTGCGTTTGCAAAGACCATTTGCTCAGTCCGTTTGTGCTCGCCTCCATAAGCCCGAACATGCTCTCCACTTGTAACTATAAACTATGGTGTGCTTTAAGCAACCACGAGCATTTTCTTAATCAAAGAAGATATTCTACAGCAAGGACTCGCACCTTCAGTCTATTATCCAAATGGTGGTTTGGACATGATATTGTATATTTCTCGGCTGTCTGAAGGTGATTGATATATTCGCAAGAAGGATATCAATCATCAACTAGTGACTTTCGTGGATCCCATATTGCTCTACTTCGGCACTTCAGTGGCTTAAGCGATTGACCTATCAACCATAAGGGAGTTAATCCATCAAAATGATCGGCCTATCACCCACAAGTGACAGTGGTCGGTCCCACTTCTTGGGCAGGCCAGCGACTTCGGCGCACCAACTCTTTGGGTTTTCCTTAGTCACAAATGGGTGTCATCTTGAATCCCTCTCGGGGGTTATCAGTGCCATGCAAATGTAACTTTTGACACACATTACAACTCAATGACGGGGTTCGCGGTGTCTTTGGGTTCTCATCAAGGAGCAGGTCGACACAATCATCAACTCGGAGGATAGTCTACACTGGCCCATAAAGTGCTCGGCATCATCAAGAACATCTCAGCAGAGAAAGCCTCTTTATTTTTTTCAACACATTGGGAGATTGCTCAGAGTGGGGAGGCATGTCCTGAAGCCATATGTTCTCGGAACAAGGGCTTCTCGGGTAGTTGGCCTCAACTATAGTTCTTGGCATCACCAACTATACTGCCTCTGGACCAAATGCCTTCCTGGGTCTCCTCTCTTGAATGCCCATTCGTACCTAGCACTCCTTCGGCTTCGGCATCTGTTAAAATGGAATTCTCATAATCTCAGAGAGCGCGATATACTCGAGCAAGGGAACATGGCGTTACCCAGATCTTTGGCATTCAAAAATTTGAACTTGCCTAGAATTGTTTCAGTTTATGTTGAAGCTAAATACATCACAAATGGGTCTTCTTTCGCTCCGACAAAGGAAATGATAACAGCCAACTTTCATGAGGTGCTCGACGAGCTTCTCCAAGGGCTCCAATGATCTCACTCACCTACGATAGGCATCATTACTTGAATCTTGGCTTCTTGGGTGGTCGGCCTCTCCACTCGGCCATTCAAAGACAGTTGGGGCGACGGGAGCCACAACGTCAACAAAGAAAACTATCAACATATCTGTACTACAAGAATTGACTCACTGCCAATTAATTACTAACAATCTTGCACTCGGGCACCATATGCTTGGCATTCAGATGGTCCAACCCTCACTGAGAAACCTCAACCTCTAGACCTGAAAGTGGTCAATCCAACATCAAAGACCAAAGGGTGACCACTTGTCGCCAAATGTCGGTTTCCTATGAAGCATCCCCAAGAACTCGAAGAACAAGTCTGACATGCAGTCAAGCCAAAACAAAATTCCTCTCTTTGGCATTTATACAACTCTGCAAACATATCAATCACTTCCGTGGTTTATCCTTCCTCGACCTCTCTATGGGAGTTTCTTGAAGTCTCTTCATGCATAACAGGTACACACAGGGACTTCTTATGTGATCGGTCCATCATCAAATGGTGTTTTCCCTCACCCGTGGATGAGACTTTGCTCGGTATCACCCTTTGAATGTTCTCTGCAACTAGCGGCACTTTTTCGACTTTGATACCAGTTGAACAAAGCTCTCTTCAAGTAATCACAAAGAGAAGGTTACATAGATTGGCAAAACCATTTCTTGAACTCGAGCATTGGCGAACCACGCCAGGGGTGTCAGTGCGTGAAAGCTCGAGATCATAGTCTCGACTTTACTTCAGCTTCACATCAAGCTGCTGATTATGGTTCACCCTCGGGCTCAAGGATGTTCTCTGGCTATTTAAGTCAATCAAGTGATAGATGGCGCCATATGGATGGTTTTTCATACCGAGGGGCTCAATCTCATCCATCAGCACCAATGATTCGTCCCAAGTGTTTGATCCACTACCCAAAATTTGTCGAGAGGTCATTTTGTGATCACTCCTTGCAGATTATCACCATTTTTCAACAAAGACAAGAAGAAATAATGATCAACTCTCAAAGAAGTTTCTCATACATGTGGACACCTAGTGGGCTCCCAGCCCAAGACACGAGTAAGCCTTTGCTCGGCCAAAGCACCAAAAGTCTTAATGTAGGCAAAAATCTCTTGGGTACAAGTTCAAGAACTTAGACTTGGGAGTACTTTTTATTTAGAGAGGTGACATGAGACTCGGGGTTAGACCTCGAACATAAGTAAGTCTTTGCATGGCCAAAGCACCCTAAGCCCTGTGTGATTAGGCACTTGATGGGCTCCGGGCCCAAGGCACGGGTAAGCCTTTGCTCAGCCAAAGTACCAAAAGTCCTAATAAAGACATAAAACCTCTTGGGGACAAGTTCAACTTGGACTCGAGAGTACTCCTTGTTGAAGGAGGTAATACGAGACTTTGGGTAAGATCCGGGATAGCAATATAGTTACAAGGGAAAGCTTGACCCAACGTCAACATTCGTGTCAGATATAAAGGCCCTCTCAAGAAGAATCTCACTAAATGAACTTTTAATTGTCTAACTACGGGTTTGATATATTCAAGACTCGCTTCGATAAGGTATGTTTTTATTTATTTCAGTTATATGAACGTGATAAAAAAGGGCAAAGCTCAAAGCCCAATTGATCATCAAACTTGAGACTGTTAAGGCCAAGGGACAAATATGTTCGGGCTTCTTTTATGGACATTCTAAAAGAGCCAAGATTATTTGGTCCCTCTTCAGATGACCGACTATTATTGTCCTCTTTAGGCTCACTCATGCTTGACGTTCATCACATCCGATTATAGTGACCCTTTTTTGAGGTTCAGATATTATTATCTCCTTTGGGTGAGGTTGAGATCCAATTATGATTGTCCTGTTTAGGACTCGACTCTCTCCAGTGGCTTGTGATGGTTATATTTGGTATTCCGTCCTCTCAACAAGACACTTCATTAGTGCTCGGCCTCAAGAGACATGTTTGAGATCTCTATATTCAGTCCTTCTTCTAGCAATCCATGTATTCGATCCTTCAGGGGCCAAGTTTATTTGGTCCTTCTTCGGGCCTGTTGGGTTGGTCTTTAGGGACTATGCTTATGTGGTCTTTGTTCAACGGATTAGCGACATCTGTTATAGGCCCTTCTCATTGGATCTATTTGCCTTGGAAGGTGCCTCATGATTGTCTCATTCACTACTCAAACTATTATTATCCTTCTTGGGATTCTATTATAAGAGTATCGGCCAGGATTCAATTACCTTCATCCTTCAGATTTGGCCTCTTAATAAGACACTTTGTTATTGCACGAGCTAATGGGTTTCTAATGTATTCATTGTTATTGCTTGGGTTTAGAATTGTCTATACCATGGAGACGCCATCTATGGCACCAAGCAGATGCATTGTCCTAACTGATGAGATATCACTCCTTGCTCGTTGGGTATTTGAGCTCCGCAGTTATTGATCTCGGTATTCTATTATAAATGACAAGCGTATTCAACTTGTGCATGTATTATTGTCTACGGTATTCGGGCTCCGTGCTCGCTTGACAATATGTAGTGGATCTCGGTATATCTCCCTCAAGTTGCACCCCACCAAAAAAGGGTGTGGATATTATCTCCTGAGACATAGGTATTCTGCACAGCTTTCATCTCCTTCTGGGTATTCAAAGGAAATAAAAGCTGGGGGGGCAGTTGATGGAATATTATTTGTCAGGTGGGTCCACCAACCCACTCCCAAGGAAAGAGTATAAATGACTTAACAAATATCACAAGTGGGACCTTCTACAATGAATATATGGCAAGTAATAAGTATTTTGGCAGGTTAGTCCATGCCTATTTCCCTGCATTGACGGCATCATAATATAGATGGTAAGTGACTATTTAATTTTCTCTATATATATAGGTGAAGACCCAAAGAAGAGGGGGCCTCGAGTATGAGCATCTTGGCTCCATATTTCACACACCCACCTATATTATTTTTCTTGCTTATACACTTGTCTGCTCCAATTATTGATCGCGATACTGACTTACGCATTGGAGGGGCCTCCCCTGGCTCAATGTCGAGGGTTTCTCTAACCTTTTTCTGTCTTGCAGCTCATGAACGAGGTGATATTCAAAGATTAGGGGCGCACCTTCAACTTTTCAGTGATTGTGCGGATTTTAGCCTGAACACATAAATACCATTTAAATTTACTTGAAGAATAAAACAACAACAATTAAAAAAATTACCTCCTGGAAAAAAAGTTAGAATATATATCAAACATTATCTCTATATAGTATAAAGCATAAACTCTCTCGGACCCATTGGCTCCTATAGGCTAGGCAGAGATGACCCATAGTATACCTAAGGGGTGTTCATGGGCTGGTTTACCCATGGATTCTGTTACCCGATCAAAAAAAATAGGTCCGAAATTCGGTTGCCCCGCCCAAGCCCAATATCCTTAAGAAGAGGACTTGGATTTGCCCTCAAATCCATTACCTGGTCCGAAGCTCAGCCCAATAATCTGTCCAAAAAAACCCATTAAAATCTAGTCCAAGAGCCCGCCAAGCTTAGCCCGCTCACCCTTCTTTTGAAAAAATTATACTTTTAAACCATTAAATTTGAACTTTGAACTACGTCTCCCAATGTCAGAATTTGAATTTTTAAAATTTTAGATACTATAAATAATGTATTATTTTCTTTTCCATGTATTAAGCATACAAATTTTAAAATGTAGAATAATACAAATGATAGATAAGTGAATAGGTGTTAACCTAGTTAGGATCTATTCATTCTATTGAATGTAATTCATCCTCCAATCAAAAATAAAATTATTTATTATTTTATTGAGAGAATTACACTCACACCCCTGAGGTTTGTCACTTAATCACTCAGACATCCTAACATTTGAAGTATTACACTCAGACCCCTTGAAATTTGTATGTGTGTAACACTTAAACCCCTATTGTAAATATATCCAATAATAAATTACATTCACACTCCCTGAAGTTTGTAAACACATATTTAGACCCTTTAAGTTTAAAATGTTAAATTTAGACCAATAATACTTCAATCAAAGATAGAATATTAAATATTTTAAATTTTACAATTAAAATTCATGTTCTATTGTATCATAAAAATAAAAATATCGTAATTAGTATACAATTGTATTATTTTTTGAAATTTAATTTGGTCGTTTAAACGACCAAATTAAAATACCAAACTATCTCAATTGAAGCTAAAAGATATTTTATTCATTACAATTTGACCCATTGTTTAATTTTTTAGTTTTATTATAATATATATTATAATTGTATACTAACTATGCTTTTTTTAAAAAAAAATTTACTTTTAATTTTATTTAAATAAATGACATAATAGAACATGAATTTTGGTTGTAAAATTCATGTTCTATTAAGAATGGCTTAGACCCCTTGTTTAATTTTTTTGTTTTATTCCAATAGATAGTATAATTGTATACTAATTACAATTTTTTAAGAAAAATTTGAATTTTTATTTTAATTTTATTTCAATAAATGATATAATAGAACATAAATTTTGGTAGTAAAATTTAAAATATTTGAATTTTTTTCTTTAATTGGAGTATTTTTGGTCTAAGTATAACATTTTAAATTTATGAAGTTTAAGTATTATAATATGTGTACAAACTTCAAGGGGGTCTATGTGTAATTTATTAACGGATATATTTATAGCAAAGGTCTAAGTTTCACGCGCGTACAAACTTTAAGGGATCTGTGTGTAATATTTTAAATATCAGAGGGTCTGAGTGATTAAGTGACAAACTTCAAAGGATCTGGGTGTAATTCTCCCTATTTTATTTTTATCACTTTTGACTCTAATTTTGATTCAAAAATATAATTTACACAAATATTAAATTACAAAAATATTCATTATTTCTAAATAAAGTTGTATATGAAAAAACCCACGAGCAGGCTCGCCTAGCAAGGCCACCCCAAAAGTCCTGCCCAACAAGTCTGCCTAATAGGCTCATGAGATGGGCTGCGGATAGCCTATCCTTACCCAAAAC